TGGTCTCCATTAACATTGTGCCATGGTCTCGCATCAATTGTTCCAGCTATCATAAAGTAGGCTAATCAGTCCCGTCTGAGGAATGCGTCTCCGCACTCGACTTCCATTCAGAATCATATTGCCGTAATGCATGCGTACGCGGCCTATACAATGACTTGAGGTGGTCAGCCGATGTACAAGTCAGTGCTTTTATCCCCCCAGACGAGTCTGGTACCAATTAACCGACCCAGGACGGATGGAAGGCTCGGTTGGCCTAGGCGGATATCGATCTGGGATTAGAACCCTTGGCCGTGTGTGTGAGTTAGTGCGCCACTTGCCACTACACCTCCCGTATATGCTGGAAAATTGGGAGTTAGGTTGGATGGGTCTACTGCCATGCCCGCCTCCGTGCACTGGGCCTCGCTCTTTATCCCTATATTTCGCTTACCTGATTCAATGTTAACATTTGCCCAGAGCGCTAGCTCGAAACGTGTTAGGGCGTTTTTGAGGGATGGTCCCCATTTCAGGATTGACTCAATGGGATAGCTTTTCACTGTCAGAAGAGGGACCTCTGCATATGCATTTTTGAATTACTTTCCTTTTTCTCACAATTCTTACTGCAGTGAGCCTGTCTCATTTTTTTTTTCGATTAAGTGAGCGCTGTCCAGAAAAGGAAATGAATCAGTGCAAGCAGTCAGATTTCCCATGAGCCTTTGAGGGTTCTACGAAAACAATCCAAAAGCGTGACAGATTAGTAAGAGGTGGAATCAGAGCAGAATTGCGTTAGCATAACAATAACTTCCAATCTCTTCCTGTTACTCCGGATGTTTTTTCTAGTTCAATCCCGACTTCTGAGAGAATCGTTCTGTTAACGTAAGACGACTGCTCACCACGACGGAAATTTCTATTGAGCTATGTCAAAGCAAGTAGCGAGTGGTAAAGACAGAGGTTACAGCGAGCTGAGTCAGGCTCTCCTCCTTTGCCGTTCCCATGAATTTCGAACTCATTCTTCGAGTAGCTCGATAGCTCGACATTTCACTTGTACAACTTCTCCATTGAGCGCTTTCCTAGCACAACTGAAGCAGAATCTTGACCATTTTTTTGCAGTTGTATACGCAAGGGAATGTTCCTTCATTCGATAAGCAGTCCCAACGAGGAACGACGAATCCTTGGAGAAAGTTAGTTATGAGTCGGAAAATTCAGTGAAATTATTATGCTACGAAAACCAATCTGAACATGGATCATGAAGAAAAAAGTAGCTCAGTTTTTTCATTGACCCAGATATCAGTCCTATTTCTTTTCTCAAACACCCCTCCTACCCCGCTTATTCGAAAATCGAGCTTGCACTGTACCATAAACAGCATTCGTGGTCCTGTTTGAACCTGACGTGTACGCAATTATGGATCTTGCAAACGTTTGCAAATGAAGCCCCAAATAAAGCGGTGATGCTAAAAAATCAGTTTATCAGCGAGAATCCATTCCATTCATGAGCGCTCATCAGTAAAATGGAATTCTCCGAGAGTAGGGTGAAAAACAAACATCAATAGTGCAAAGAAAGTATTCAACGAGAAACGAGAATTTCATATACATAATCAACTTTCATATAGATCATCTAGATAAGAAAAAGGAATGAAGGGAAACGTGTCGATCTCTTTTGCCCTTTTCTCACAAGGTTCTCTATCCGTGGTTGTCTAATTATTACAATGCTAACCCATTTGCCCTAGCCAGAAATCACTCAAGCATTATGAAAATAACTACGCGGTCATTAATGTAGGAGCATTTGGAATATTATTTGCACAGAAACATCTCTACGAAAACGTAGCAGACGCGCGCATAGCGCGAGTGAGGGGTCACGCCCTTCATAAATCCCAGGTTCAGTCGCATACTTGGTGGAATACCGAATCGGGAGACATCTCTGCGCTTAGTTCCTACCCCAAGATCCAGAATGAGTGTGTGGACTACGGTCAAGCACTTACCAGGGAAGGGTTTCAAATTCCCATGGAACTTTGAATGGAGACCTAGGTATATCGATAGGGCTTTGAAAGTTATCAAGAAATATGGAAATTAAAACTGCAAAATGAGTCTAC